CGCTCTTCCAGTCTGTTCTTCCCTTGGTACATCTCCAGCTGGTAAACTCTCCAGTTTTCCATCTCCATCGTCACCTCTCGGCCCTAACAGATTATTTTTTCCTTCCTTCTCCTAATGCTCTTTTCTTTAGTTGTGCTGTGTGGCACTCACCAGATCCAGTTTGTGCTCTAGTGCTTAATTCGGGTTTGGGGGCTGAAGGCTAACACTTCTTTAGAGCTATTCCCTCCTTCCAGATCAACTGTCTGTGTCACTGGGGGCACTTAGCTCAAACTGTAGTACTCAGCTTTGCCCAAGTGTTGCTGGAACCTAGGAACGAACAGACTGAGCTAAATTTAAGTGGTGCCCAGCCTGGTATCTCCCATCTAACAGTGGCCACTACCACAGGCTGTGGAAGAAAGATGCTGGGAGCTGTGCAGGACTTAGATGAGAAGTTGTCTCTCTGCTCTCCTCGTCTGCTCTGAGCACTGAGGGGAGCATTATGGTGGTCCAGTACAGTTCAGACCCTGCCACAATTCCACTTGTGGATTAAAGTGTCTGAATTTAGGTGTCTACATGTTGAACCCCCTTAAATCAATGGAGATCTAGTCAATGTAATTAATGGAGTCCAGAGAGCAGCTCAGCTACGTTTAGGTGTCTTAACCTGCAGGCTGATGTCCACTCGGTTGGCTGGGCTCTTAATGTTCTTTTATTTCATAAAAACTTACTGTCAAGAATAAGCATGGTAACTTCTTTGTAAGTGAACTGCTGTGTACTTACTACATCAGAACTGGTTTACGAGGAGTAGGATTTTCAAATCAAATTTTCTTAAATCACTTAGTAATTACCAACTTCAGACGTTCAACACGTCTGGTTGTCAGGCTTCAAAAACAATTGACATTTTAAAAAAAGTAACTTACCCCCACCCCCAAAAAAGTGTTTTTTGGGGGGAGTTGGCATGTGGTTTCCATGCCTCTTGATTCATGAAGCCATGTCTTTGTGGACCTGAGATCAAAATGTTTTTTAGAAGACGGGAAGAAAGAGAAGGAAGTAGAAAGCTTGATTTGTTATTACATAGTCCGTCGAGTCCAGGAACGGGCTTTAATAAAATCACCTTCTGTGGTAGCATCTCATGATACAGTCACGAGTATGGCAACATTACAAACTCTGTTCTCCCTACTGGGGTAACACGGTTGGTGCTGACAATGAGAAAGGTAAGGAAATAAATTCTTCACGTTTAAAGAAAGGTTGAGGAGAGACTGAAACGCAGACCAGAGGCAGCGGAGAGCCCCATGTTAGGTTGCTTTCCAGCAGGCAGCGTAAGGGCTCGGTCTCACGTTACGAGACTCTCGCAGCAACAGCAGTGTAACAGCTTCCTGCAGTTTGTTGGGATGCTCCAGGAACTGAGTCGAGGAGACGCTCTGTAAAAACCTCAAGTAACAGGCAATCTGCTGATCTCTTCCCTGAGCTGGGTCACAGCACAGCCCCTCAGAGAATGGCTGGACTGAGCGACGGAGGGGCAGAAATACCCTAAACCAGCACTGTGCCAAACACCAGCATTGCAGACCCGTGCCCAGAGCTCCCTGAAGCGAGGAGGGCCCCTTACCTTGCCTTGGTTTAGACATCGTCAGTGCAGACACTTTCTTTGGAGCTAGGTCCCCGGGACTCCTTTGATAGTCAGTGGAGACCAACAGCACTTTTGGGGGTGTTTCACATGACCACATGTAAGCCTCTGTCTTGGGAAGAGATGAAAAACCCTTAAAAAATGCCCATTCCTCTGCCCTGGGCTGCAAAGTGAGCCCATGGAGCTACCACGTTTGCTCTGATGAATCCCACCTGACTGTCTCTTTTACATGTTTGTACAGAGCTAGCGCAGTAGATCCCTCATCTGTGACTCAGCCTGTAGGCAGGGTTATCATCGCCATAATCCTCCTGCAGTCATTTTGTTAGCTTCGGTGATGAGTTTGACCCAATAGCCAATGGTCCTTGGCCAGCCTCTAGGAATTAACCTTGTTAAGCTGTCCTTGCTGATGCCTCTTCTGCTTGCGGTGGTGTGAGATTGAGGACTACCTGCTCGTTGCTGGACGTTCTCTACCTGTTTGCCGTCATCCCACTACATGGCCTGCGGGAAGGAGTTCACAGATTGGCTAAAATAATTTCTGAACTGTAACAACAAACCCTCATTAGTTTCTTAGGTCTAGTCCTCGTGTTGGGAATTTGGGAGATTAGATTCAAATCTATGGCAACATTTAATTTCATATTCACAGCAGGGTCGTTGCTGTAAGTGGAGGAGCAAGTTCATCCGCAGCACTGAATTCAGTCTGAAAGTATAACGCTTTTATTACCGCTAGCCTCACAGCAGTGTCTCTCCCCGACTCAGCTGAATCTTTCTCATTTCCGAAGCTGCTGCTCTTCCACATCACGTTCAAATCCTTCAATCCGACCTCCGAGCGGCGGCTGGAAACCCAACAAAATTTGACATCTCCACAGATAATTCTACCTAGTCTATAAATACGTGAATCCACGGGGCAGCACCAGCAAAGCCGTAGTTAAGACTGACTTAGCTTACCTTTAAAGGCACCCATTTTAGGCTCATTTGCAGATTCTTAGAGCTCTCAGATTCTGACAATATATATTCCTAGGACTTGGAAAATCTAAGAAAGCAGCATTCAGTCGCTTTTAAGAAGGAAGAGGATGAAGACAAAGCACCCGTTCTGTCCAGAGCAAGGAGAAGCGACGCCATTTGCTTCTCACCAGGGCTGGAGTCGGCGTGGTGGGTGGCAGCAGGTCGCGTTTGGGTTCAGGGCCCAGTGAAAGGCTCACGGGATGCTGGAAGCGCTCCACAGGTTTTGCAAACCCGCCTGCTGCTTAAGCAGGGCTTGCCCAGCAGTTGTGCTTCCCCACATCTTCCCATCACCTTCCAAAAGGAAGGATGCGTTGTGGACACGTGTGTAATGTAGCAGCTCGCAAAATATGTTCACCCATGGTTTTCTTTTCTTTTTTTTTTCCCCTTTTCTTTCTTTTTCCTTTTTTCTTTTTAAAGCCCCCAAACCACTATTTGCTAGCAGATTTTTGGCTGAAATGTATCTGAATTTTTGCTGTGTTTTTTTTTGGCTGGGAGTCGCTGAAGACTTCCGTTTTCAGCCTAAAAGTTCTGGTTTGGGGCTGCTGGGTTTTGTTTGCTTGTTTGTTTTTCGGATGCAAAACAGAAAATATGATGGGGAAGGGGAAAGTCATTTGAAGACAGAAGTCATTTCCTGCAAACGGATTTGTTAATAACGGCATTCGGACTGAAAAAAAATTCTGATGAAAATCCTCTGTCACGAATATCTAACCACACTGATGCTGACAAGCCAGGGAGCCTCCTCCCTGCTTTTCGTATTAACATATGCAATGACTTAGATTCCAGCAAAGCTGCAGAGAGCTGCCTTATCCACGTGTTGGAGGAGGCAACAGAAAATGAGCTGTAGTTACAATAAATTGCCTGCTGTCTCGTGTTTCTATTATTAAGTTTGTTATAGCCCAAACGTTTGCTTTTGAGTGGTGTGGTTGGCACAGGCTGGTGGAGGAGGAATGACCTGGGAGCCTGGGCTGGCCCAAGCGCCCTGCTCCTACGCTACCTTCTGCATCCTGGGCCCAGTGCTTTTGTGCTAGATGGGAGAGCAGGGAGATTAGCTGGGAAAACTTCAGTGAACTGGGCATAAAATGCAGCTGGGAGCATTTCCACGAAGGGACTGAATGGCATTGCTCAGCTGGGGGATGAACCCGGTGCGGGCGAGCGCTGCGGCACGGGGGATTTAGTCCTCAGCTGCTCGGAAAGGGAGAGAGCACCTTCATCCTGCGACGGGCTCCACCGCCGTCTGTGAGCCAATGCATCTGTCCTTCTCCGTGTTGCTCACCGTTTCCATTTCTCTGATTGTTTTTTTTTTTTCTTCTCTGTTTCAAGGTGGGCCTTAATGTACTGGTTCAGCGAGCAAATAAGTTTACCCCTGCCACCCGTCTCCTGATCCAGAGGTTTGTGCCATTCCCTGCTGTAGGTAAGAACCGATGCGTTTGCTTTTTGTTCCCAGTGTTTGTTCTAAACCTCACTGGATTAAAGCTGGCAAAACACCCAGCAAACACCTGCCTTTCTGGTTTATGCTGGGTTTTATATTGGCCAGAACCTGAAGACTCGGTCCTAGCGTTCGCTCTGCAAGGAGCTGTGCCAGCGAAGCCCGAGTGCGGCGTCAAGCCACAGTTTCCGCTTCCAGGCAGCTGAAATAATCAGCATTGCCTGACCGTAGGATATCCAAATCCTAGAGCTTTTCGTTTTCAGCATACTGGATGAATCCGTGTCAGATCAAATCCTTGAATCGGCAGTAGCGCTGTTTTGTTTTTGTTGTGTTTCGTTTTCAATGAAAAAGGAATGAAACGCTCCTGTTCTGAATACATAGATTTCTAAGAACCACGGCTAAAAGGGGGCTGACGTGTGTGAGCGTGAAGACTGCTGCTGGCTTTCTCGAGCACAAGATAAATGGTTCTGCCATTTGTCAGTGAACTGGTCAGTGTCTGAGGAGGGAAGGCACCTGCTGGACTCAGCGTGTGAATCTTTTCTGAATCCAGTGGTTACAACATTCAGCAAATCAGGAGTGTTTTTGGCTGTGAAGAAGTCTCCAGTGGTGTCATTTTTGTTTTGTTTTGTTTTTTGTTTGTTTTGTATAAGCTTGTTTATTTACAAACTGCAAAGATACGTTTGTCTAAATCAGGAAGGAAATCAAGCGAGATAGGGTTTTTTTCGCTCGCTGTTGCAGGTCTCTTTTCAAATTTGCTGTTAACCCAAAGCTTTGCTTTAAACTTTGTTCTTTGCTTTTGCAAGGACCACCTTCTCAGAGCTTCTTCTGAAAGCTGGCTTACAGGGCAGCATCGCCACCCAAAGAGCATCGTTTCCCGGTCTGCTTTGTGGCCCTGCTTCTAGCTCTCATGCAAAAATCTGATTTCTGAACGGTTTAAAGGTTTCCTTGCCAGCTAGGAGGCACCGCTGACCTTGAACAGCTAGCGTAATTCCCCATGCCTAATGGACCTCTCTGTAGCTGCAGTGCTAAAGCCATGGCTTTTGGGGCCCGAGTTCATTTTAAAAGCTTTACCCAAGTGATTGCATTTCATTGCACGGATGCATTAGACCCTGCATGAGTTAATTTTATTCATTGATTCAGAGCACTGTAAAATAAATAGAGGGATGGTTGAGATTTCACGATAGCCTGAGACTGGAGCGCTCAGATGAGACAGGCAATGACATCCTTGAATAAGCTGACCAGAGCCCTTTTACACACCAGCTGATTACATGAGATTTACTGGTACACACAAATTCTGTGTCTGATCCCCTCTATATTTCTCAAATTAGATGTCCAGTAGGATGGTCACTAAACTGCCTCTGAATCAGATACTTCCTGATGCTCCCTTGCCTTCTCGTGCTGGTGTTTCAAGTATGGTTGTGACGTTCAGACTAGATGCAGATTCCGCGAGTCAGTGGCAGAGCTTGTTGCTCTGACCCTCCTGCCTTCACTTCCCAGGGTTTGGGGGCTTTTTTTCCGCCAGTGAAACAGCGGCGCGTCCTTTCTGCAAAGCGGGGAGGACCTGGGGTCGTGGTCTGTAGTTTGCGTTCGGTCCTTGTTTCTGACTGCTCAGCTGTCACGTAAAGGATCTGTGGATGTTGCTGCTTCGAAGCCAATCCTGGTGTCTGTGGATTCACGTATTTGTTAATTCCTATAGCCTAGTGGCGCAAATTAGTTTTGTTTTCCTGGTTTTACATAAGTCACTGCAATGTGGTATTTGATGAAGAGTGGTAAAATATTCTTTCCGCACCCAGAACATGCTGCAGAGCTCACTGATCAGTCAAGTTCTTCCTTGAATTTCAGTGGGTTTTGGTCAGTCCCCATCTGGTCCCACAGCCTGCCACTTTTGATGTGTCTGTGACTCCTTCCCCCGCGACGCTGGCTCACGGGAGCAGAGCCTGCGAGAGGGGAGCAGCATCGTAGCGCACTGTGCCAAGTGTTGATGGGGAGACGGCTGCTACCGGCCTCTGACCCTTCTCGGATCTTGGGGGAGATCTTGTGACTCCTTTAGGCCTCCGTTTTTGCCCGTGCGCAACAGCAATGACGCTCTATCTTCTCCGAGCTCTCTGACTGAAGAAGCAGTGATTCTCAGAAAAAGCTCTCATGTCACAGTTTTTGTTGTTCTTCCTGCTCCAAATTTATTTTTCGAGGTTTTCAGCTTTTGATTTTTGTATTCAAGAGGGCACTGAAGGCTGGTACGAGACCTGGGAGGCGGCTCTGAGACTGGGTTTGAATCAGAGATGCGTGCGGAAAAATCTTTGCCGTCAGATTGTTCTATTTTTGTACCAAGGTGTTAGGAGGGAGAGGTTAGGCTTGTGTCAGAATTGATTGAGGACCCGTAATTAATTTGTTTAGCCCTTAATTAATTCTCTAGTTCTTACTTTATTTGTGTACTGTCACGCTTAATTATGTGCCGGGACATCAGGCATCGTCCGACTAATTGCTGTTTTGTTGTTTTGAAAGCTGCAAGTTATTGCTTTGCAGACCTGGGCAACCTGTTTAATTAAGACATGCCTGCCCGTTACTTTTTGAACTGCCAGCCCCCGGGAAAAGGGCAGAATTTCACCTTTTACGCATGAAAGGCCAGAAGCTGGTGTGAAGCTCTTGCTCTACTGACATGCATACATAGGATTAAACAGTTTCCCCCTGCCCTTTCTCGTCTCCCTCTCCCTAATCCGCTGACCTCACATGAGTTATGCTGGTTTGTGTCAGCTGGGAAGCTGGTGGCGTGTGTCAGACTTCTTATGGTCTCTCATCCCAAAGGGATGTGAGTGATGGAGACTTGAGAAAGTGCAGCTACCGCTCGGGCAAGAGACAGCCAGGCCCCAGAAGGGTTCAAGAGATTTCAGTAAGAGCTGCTGATTAGGACTTGACTTTAGAGCTGGCCTGGAGCTGGGTACAGGAACCAGCATTAGCCAAGCCTCTGTGCTACCCTCCTTGAGCCTCACCCCTGCACAGCCCACATGGCTCCATCCTTCATCCCCAGCAGGAAGCTGGGGAAGGCCCTGGGAGAGGCAGCCTGTGGTTTGTACTGCCTTCAGAGATGCTTCACATATCGTGTCTGTCTTCTCTGGGCTGTGTAATAGCTGTCTTAAGCCTAATAAACTGAAGCACACCTGGACAAATATTGTCCATAAGACATATTTAACAAAACTGTGATACCTCCTTGAACTCTTCTCATTAGCACTAATTTCTCTTTCACTGTGCAATGCCAAGCCAAGTGCAGGGCACGAGGGGCAACGGGGGATGTACCAGCAGGGACCTGCAAGCCTTCCTCGCAATGACGCAGGCAGCGTCCAGGCGGGAGAGGATCTGGAGAGCCGATGCGGGCTTCGATCGCTCCAATCCCCACATTGGGACAGGTGGTACTGGAAGAAGATACTGGGAGTTTGGACCACACCATTGCACTCCACCACTGGTGGTTTGCAGTAGCTGGAAGGCTGCTGCACGAGGAACACCACCACAGCCTGCCTGGAAAACTCCCCCAGCCCCTGAGCGCAGGGTCACACGGACCGGAGATGTCAATGCGAGCGAGGGATGTCCTTGCAGCCAGGAAGTAGGTTGCTCTTCCGGTGGGGGTAGCTAAACGAGCTGTGCTTTACCGTGGAAACGGCTAATCTCTGCATATATCAGTAGCTGACTTTATGCAGAAAAGGGTCCTATTCGGAGCTGGTGTTAGGTGCTCGATGTTGGCCACGCCGGCCCGTCACCCAGCTAGTGAAGTTGTTCATTGTGAGGGTTTTCAGTGCAGAGAACAGATCTGTAGGGTTCGCTGGGAGGAGCGTAACGCGGTTGTGTTCTGGAGACCTGCTGTCTCCAAATTTGAACAGGAAGGGGCTTAACTGTTATTCAGAGATGCAGGTAGCAAAGGGTATCTGTGCCCAGTGATACTGTGAGAAAGGCAGTTTACCACCTTCTTCCCAAGCCTTACGCAGCTGAGCGAAGAGCTGACAGGAGGTTTGCTGTGAGGTAAAGGCCCTACAAGGGGAGCAAAATAAACCTTTTTTTTTTCCCCTGCAGGAGTTAAAAATGTGCATGTCTTTCCTTTGCCTTCTAGCTTCCTGGTTTGGGAAAAAAATGGCAACTTTTCTCTTTGTCTTGTTCTGTGCCTTTGTTTGCTGGGGCAGAAAGAAGAAATTCCCACCGCATCAAAGAGCGATAGGTACATCACTGCTAGCAAAATCTTTACCACGTTGATTTTGCTTCGAGGAGACGCAGAGTAGGAGCCTTTTACCAAGGACAGTTATAATGTCATCGCAAGCGCTGTTACGCTGGAAGATCTAAACTTGGTTGAGCCTGCAGCCTCCACTCTCCACGGAGGCTTTATGGCAGCTGTACCGGGGAAGCAGAGGTGGATCGTACGAGTTGCCCCGTGCCCTTGCCATGCTACTTGCGGGCAGCTTCAGCCTCTCCTTTGCGAGAAGATCTCAAGCATCAGCAGCCAGGAGCTGAATAAATCCTAGTGAGCAAGATGCTGAGTTAACAGAGGGGAGTTGCCTTCCTCAGATGAACCCTTGCAATCCCCTTTCAATCCCACTCGAAACGGGCAGCTACCTGAGCCAAGATCTTTCAGATAGCTACAGATCCTGAAATAGGACAGCTTAGGTTAAGCCCTCTCAGGCAATGAATTAATGCTAGCACCAGTGGCCGAGCCACCAAACACACTGCAGAATACAGATACGCCTTTCTGATATTTTACCCGTTGTTTAGTGCTGTGAATATATGAGGTATATTGTGGGCACGAACTGATCATAAATTGCCTGTTTAAACAGCAGAGGTCGGGTCTACATAGCTGTAACTGCAGTAGTGTCAGAGAAACTGAACCTACTCCCCTCGAGTCTGAATTTGGCCTTTTTTATGATTTTTTGTCCATGCTCCGTGGTCCCTCTCAGTAGCCACCCTGAAGGATTTTTCCAGGGGAAAAGAACATGCTACGTGAGACATAGTGATTTTTAGGTATTAAAGAAGGAAAAGGAAATGCAGTTTGAAAAGAGAAGTGCGACAAAGCCTCGGCCGTGGAGGCTGGGTTCGCTGCAGGCTGGTTTCCAGCTCCCAGGCTTAAGCTCGGCTTTGAGTCCGTTGAACGGATCATCGGAGCCACTGGAAGAAGGATTGGGATATCTCAGGATCTGTGATCCACGGTTACTATAGTGATAAAAATAAAGTGTTAATGCTTTTCCGTTTCTGCCTCGGCTTCCACAGTCGGCCTCCAAAGTCAGCTCAGCAACCGGAGAAGGAAGCGCGATGCAAGCCCAGTGCTTCCTAACTCGCTTGTCTGGGGAGGCATCAAATGCACTACTTGCTTAAATGCCTTCCAAAGTGAGGTGCTTGGGCAGGTGCTTAACTGCCTTAATAAACAGTTAATCATCTAAATCAGCGCTGCCTAGTGAATGTACTCGGTGTGGATAGCTGTCACTGGGCCCTATATGAAGATAAGGAACCTCACTGGAGACAATGTCCTTTATACTGGAGATGTGTGTCCTCAAAAAAAAAAAACAAACCACACACACACACACACACACACACACAAAAGACAAAAGTGGGGGAGGGCTGGAGGGAAAAAAATGTTGAGTCCCAGGGCCTGATCCAAAGGAGGTTAAAACTGGTAGAAAGATTCCTGTCCACATCAGAGGGCTTCGGCCCCAGGGCCCCAGCTGAGCCTGTAGGGTTGGGGGTCCCCTGTGAAAGCCTGGTTTAACTGATGAGTGTAGAAGTGGGGTACTGGGTTGCTTTTGTGTCTGCACGCAGTTTCAAGTATGTCACCAAATATTTTCAAGAAAGCAGTTTACAGGCTATTTGATCACAATTTTCCCCCAAATTCTGAAAATCTAATTTTCTAACTCTATCTTTATTTCTTATTTTCCATCTCTTGCCTTTGAAACCCTCGTAAAATCAACTTTTACCTGTTATCTGCCATATTTTGTGCTTTCCCAGTATTTTGCTGGAGCAGAATGGAGGTGGCTAACACAATTGTCTGTCTCAGGGAAATGTGCTGGGATCAGGTTATGAATTTGGGATGTCAGCAATGAATCCTTAAAAGGATCTAGTGACTTTGAGAAGCGTCTAGAGCTCTCGCTTGAACTTCAGGTCTGGAAACCCCAACAAAAGTCTCATGAGAATCTGGTGCCAGGGCTTCTTGCCTTGACCAGAACCACGTATACAACAAAACCAGTCTCTTGTAGCACGCTTTCGTCTGCTCAGTCTTGATTGAAAGCTAGAAGGATGGGGAGAAAAAAAAAAGAAATAAAGAAGAGGGAGGGAGTAAACTTTCTTTAAGTGAAACGCCTGCTTTCTTTTTTATCTTGGATTAGTGAGCTGAAGGACTGGTAACACAGATATTTTGATAGATAGGAAGAGTGGTCCGGTGGTTAGAAGATTAGCGAGAGAGACAGAGTGTGCGTGTGTGTATGTTCCTCTCGTTCGGGAGTGTAAGGAGCATTTGTCACCACAAATCATCTTTGATTGCCGAGAGCTGCGTTCATATAGGGCTCACCCACCCACCACCCTCAAAAAATTAGACATTTGTTATATGACATGAATTGAGATTAATTAGCAAATATTAACCCATCAGACAGCACAGAAACACATTTTTGGAAGCAGTGGTACTGCAGCAGCAGTGGCTTTGCATTAGTTCTGGTTGGAAAGTTTGCAACAAAATGTTGTGTGTGTGTGTGGTTTTTTTTTCCCCTGGAAAATGCCAGTTTGTCAAAACCAAAACTTTTACAGGGATTTTCAGCTTTTCTTTGGAAAATTTCACAAAGGATAGAATGGGAATCTGGCAGTAAAGGGGTAGAGAGTAGCCAGTGGGTCAGTGGTCTGGCACGTGGTCCAGGTCTGAATTCTTGTTTCTCGCTTATACCTGGAATACGCCTTTATAGGAGGAAAAGTGACTTGAGGGCAGAAAGCTCGTGGTCATTGCATAAGAAGAAGTGCACAAGGCAGGGGAGGGCGAGGCAGGCCAATGGTGTGTACCAAAGCAAGAGTCTTTGTCCTCATGCCTCCCTCAGCCCACAGGACTTCGAGAGCAGCGTTGCTGGGTGGAGGGAAGGTGGCTTTCGGAAGGAGATAAGTCAACAAAAATTTTCCCAGAGAAAAGGATAGGGCATAACAAGGAGATGTCCGTAGGGGAAGGGTGGCGATGTCCTTTCTCCCCGTTTGTGCCAGCCATCTCCCGCGCACGCAGGCTCACGCTCCCCACGCTCATCCCTGTGCAACTCAGCTCGCTGAGCAGGGGAGCTTGGAGGATCTGGCAACATTAGTGTCCTTTTTTGCCTCAATACATTTCCAACTGTGGCAGCAAATTCCTTTGCAAGTAAAAGGGAATGATCTTCTCCTCCTCGAAATTGCATCTCCCACTCTGTACAGGGGTGAACCCTTGACTTTCAGAAACTTCTTGGCAGACTGCTGAAAATGAAGCTGAAGGGATATCATAGAGAACAGAAGCCTGCCATTTGGTATTGACCAGGGCTGCATTGCTAATCATCATGCTTGTCTCATCCTCAGCTAGTGCCAATATCTGCAATGTTGTCCTGATGAGGCACACAGAGCTGGAAGAAGGAATTGATGTTTTGGACAATAACGGAAACCTTGTCGGATCTTCCAGAATTGCTGCAAAACACGTATGTACCTGTGATGTTCCTTGCAAGCACTCGATGTAAGCATGTACATGAGTGGCCCTAAGGCTCAACAAATCCCCACAGCTGTAGGAATCGATGACTTGGAAGAACTAGAAATAGGTCAGCCTTACCTATCATGCAGGAGGAATTAAGCTGCAAAACTTACTGCTTGCTTTGTACTCGCTCGTGCAGCTGGGTATCCACAGCGCTGAATGTGCTGGTGGACACAGAAGTTTAGAGGTGACAAGCTGGGGTATTGCTCTAAGTGTCGTTTCTGAGCGCTTGATCAAGAGGGCATCTGTTTAATCGTAGGGGAGATTAGAGTCTCCCATCTGAAAGATTAGCTACTGTTCCTGTGACTGCTCAAGGAAGTGAAAAGCAGAGTAGTTTATCTTTGGACCTGTGTGCTTTTGAACATGGCATGTTGTCTTTCCCAAAAGCATTTAAGTCAAGGCTAAGTAGCTTTTTCTGAAAAGTAGTCTATAGCCTTGGCAGTAGTTGAGGCTTTGTGCAGGAAAGAAGCTTGTGTTATGCAGGCAAATCCAGTAGTGGATCATAATGGTCTGAAAGTGTACAGATTTACATCAGAAGGATCCTGCGTACCCCTTATGCATTCACAGCCTTAGGATTTCTTGGTGGAAACTTGTAAGCAGTTCATGTTGCATATGAAGCAAAGATAGCTTACACCTTTTTCTAAATGAGGAAGACTTCATTTTCAAGCTGAGTAGCTTTTTAACCCTTGCCGTGTCAAAATTGCTTTAACAACTGCCGTCCAAAGCTTTATAAGGGTGGCCAGATGTTTTTATTCGTGTGCTAACACCTGGTTTGTTTTTGCCTGTAACCTTCTACTCTTTACCGTCTGCTTGCAATTATTGCGTTTTCTTCCTTTTTACATAGTTTTGTCTTCTGAGCATCATCTGATTGTTTGAGGCATGTTGTTTTCAAGTGGGCTTTAATCTGAAATGTAAAGCATGTACAGAAGCACACGCCCAGGCAGAGGAGTTAATAATATAATGCTTGGCATTTCTCTCACTCCTTCTGTCCAAGGCTCTTAAGGCACTTTGTAGACAGCAATTAATGTACAGATTTACAGTCTTCTGCAAGAAATGGGAGATCTCTAATATCTCTCCATATTGTTGTTTAACAGGGAGCTTAAAACAATCTGTTGAAGGGCTCAGAGACACTTATTTGAGCCAGTTTTCCTCACTTACATTACTGGCTTCAAGACCCTTCTTCCTCTCTCCATCCTAATGGTCTAGGAGAATACAGACAAGACAAAAAATAAATAATAGAAATGAAGGTGTGTTAAGGGTGATTTAGGTGGAGGTAAAGCATCAAATTTGAGAGCCTGAGAACTTCCGCTCAGCTGCCATCTAATCCTGACAGTTCTTCCCGAATCGCGTAGTGCCTGGTTTTGTAGTGTAAAATGCGGTAGGTCCTTAGTGTTGCAGTCTGTGCTTCTCCAAGACCTCCTCCTGTTTTGGAAGGTTTGAAAGCTCCGAATCTGTTCAGCGTTCCCATCCAGGATGTTCTGCCTAGGTCTCACGGAGACCCACGCGTACAGGCAGTGCTCGGGGAGCCCCAGGCAGGGGACTGCAACTGCACATATCTCAGCCTGCACGGAGAGATTTTACCTTACAGAATAAGCCAGACAACAGTTCTGCGTTTGTTTCCTACCCCCAGGCAGCACTGACATGTTTGTGTGTGGCAATATGGTATTGAGCGCTTTTGGTCACGTAGGTGAAACCAGGAAAGCTTGACTGTTCGTAAGATCCGGAGCCCTGTGCCCTGCCTTTGGGTCTGTTTCTCTGTATTTGTGAGCAAACCTGGGCTCTAGCCCATCCGTTGTAGCAACAGAGCAAAACTAGGTTGTATACAAATAACGGATTGCAAAGTTGAAAATGTTTGTTGATACATTCATTCACATATGCAACACAAGAAAGGCCAGCCAAGCCATTTCCGTGCCTACGCATTGATTGCTCAGTGCAGGTACATCCTGAGATTCATTTTAAATGTCTTGGATTTGTTTGTTTGCTTTTCCTTTTCAGGCACTGCTAGAAACAGCCCTGACTAGAGTGGTCCTGCCAATGCCTATACTGGTTCTACCTCCAATTATTATGTCCATACTGGAAAAGTAAGTGTTGGGTAGTATGAAAGCAGGGGGCTTTTCATGGGGAAGGGAGAAAAAGGTCCTTAACAAGTGTTCTTCATTGATATTTGTAACAGTTGTCCATCAAAGACTTTTTCTTGCTTATTACAATGTTCATGTCCCAGCATCTTTGACCATTGTTGTAGCCTGTTGAAGTGTTATATTAGTGCTGTTATTTTAAACCATCTTTCTGAGACTCTGTAGCAGTTTCAGTAACTCTATTCTATAGGGTCAGCGTGAGCCATAACTCTCTGGATTCAGTGGGAAAATGTTCATAAGTTTTCAGTTCTCCGTTTTGCAAACATTAGAACTGCCACATGGGGTCAGACTAAAGGTCTCGAGCATGATATTCTCCTTCTTACAGAAAGTATGAATGAGAGTCAATTGTTCTGCTGGCTGCCTCTGTCCCCTACCCCAGGCTTCAGCCTCGGGGTCCTGCCCCTGCCGTTTCACAGCCAGACCGGCTGCGGGCACTCAGCACCTGCGCAGGAGCTCTATGGGGTGTGCTGTTTGCGTTCAACCCGCAGTCGGGAGCGTAGGGACGTACCGACCGTATCCTGCACCCTGACCCTCTTGGCAGTAGTCACTGCTGGTCTTGTCTTCTGTGAACTTGTCTAGGCCCTTGTTGAAGCCTCTTGTACTTCCTTTAAGTAACGTCCTGTGGCTTTGAGATGATTATGCACAGTGCAGATGATTATGCACAGTGCAGATGATTATGCACAGTGGGGAGAAGTACTTCCTTTTGTTTTAAACTTCTCTGACCTTTGAATTGGCAGCTTCCTTCATCTCACCTTGCGGGGGACTGCAAAGAATAATGTCCTTCCACCTTCTCCATTCCATTCGTGATTACAGGACCTCTGCCTTGGTTTTCTCCTTCCCACCTGTCATCTCTGTCCCTGGTCAGTCCAGGGTATGGCTGCATGCTAACAAAAGGGAAGAGCGATGGAGCGCTAACCTTCACATATTTGGCAGAAGTTTGCTTTCCATCATTGTTTAAGCCCAAATCTCTCCTGACAGATGTCTTCGTGGAGCCCCAGTGCTTCCCGAGAGAAATGCTGCATTTCTGGTAGCGCTTCAGGAGAGTGGGCAGGAAAGAGCAAGGCTATTATCTCATGTCTAATTATCCCGTGTCACTGCTTTCTAACAATGAAGAAACTAAAGAGCTGTGTCCATTGACTGTTCTCCCCACTTTGTGTTCCTCCACGTCAGCTTTTTCTTCTGCCCGGAGATGCTGTGAGCACTCGCTCTTTGGAGTCTGGCAGGTGTGTCCTTACGGGCTTCCTACTAGCTGCCTCCTTGCATCCCATCAGACCAGTTCATGCGGTGCAAATGGCCCTCCCTGGAGCATGGATCACCGAGCGAACCCTGGGAGACTGATTGCTGCATTGAAAGATGGGGGTGCTAAAGGACTTGCTACCTTTGTCAAGATAGTCAGGCTGGAAGCACTTTTTAAACAAACTTGTTGATAATGGCTGCTCTAAAGCACTCCACTGACAAAGTAAATAACAATTAGGAGGGTTAGGTATTGACCCACAGCTTTGGTCAGTCGTATTTGCTCTTGCAAAACTACCCTAGGGCAATTCTCTGTCCTTAACAGAGGGGTTGAGGTTTTTCTGCAAATGTTGAGTCTGTTTTTTCAGTGCTTAAATTTAAAAAATGTATACCATGTGTATCTCCGTGGCAGCTAGAGTCTCACACCAAGGCCAACTCCTCCCATAAGCTAGGTGTGGGGCAGAAGTACAGTAACACACTCTGGTCTTGGAACTCTAAAGTAGGTGTTTTCAGCCCTCGCTGGCCAAGGCATGCTATTTTCCTCTCTTTTCTCAACGGATTGTGGTGGTTTCCTGTGGCAAGGCACAATCTTGGTAAAAGTTGGTAAAAGCCACTGGTGGGAGATGGCTGCTGGAGAAACACAAGCAAGAAGGGTAGCTGCCAGTCCCACAAATTTTGTGCAGAGCATGTGATTTTCGCTTCCTGCGGCCCCTCGATAAAGCCTGCATCAGCACAGCCGCCTTCTCCTGCTCTGGGACCCTGCGGTCCACCAGCCAGGGATCTAACCTGCAAGATCACGGAGCTAGAGAGAGCCCGTAGTGTGCATTGCACGGAAGGGAGTATCAGAGGCAGTGCTTCCTGCAGAAGGTGGAGTACACAGACTGACACTGTAGCAATGCAGCACTTTTTCCTCTCATTTAATGTATCAGATGCTTCCTTCTGATGCGTGATCTGATGTGTGTGGGCTCAGCCATAAGGGGTGAGGAAAGTGGAGAGGTCTAGGTGGTGTTATTAGTCCAGCTTTACAGACTGAGGATGGAGGGGAGAGTGCTGCACTGGGGAATTGCTCAGGAGTGACCGTCCCTTACTCTGGCATACCTTGCTCAGGGCTTGCTCGACATCATGTGCAAGAAAAGCAGGAATTGTCCTGTTTCTTTGAACTCCAGCGTCTCAACAGCTTCCCTGCTTTAAACTGAGATGCATGATTCTAGCCCTTACAATCCCATCAAAACTGCTTTGCCGTTGTCAGCCTAAAGGACCTCTGTTTTTGTCTGCCCACGTTGCAGACACTTAAGAAACGCCACAGATTTATGATATTTCCTACCACAGCGATCTTTCTTTTCAGGCCTTCTGTAGAATTGAGGCCTTTCACTAGAGCGCCAATCTGACCAATGTCATGGTCAGATATTGACCCATAGATCCCTTGCAGTGGTTGCCAAAGAGCACAGTCAGGGGTGAAACTGTGTTACATTTCAGGAGATATAGGATGCGTAAGGAACCCAAAGCAGAGAGTGCACACATGAGTTATCCGTGAGGCAGTAGCCCAAGAGAGAGTTTGAAGCAGGAATTTTTTGGGTTAGTTAAAAACAAAAAAAAAAAATTAGATCTGTCTCAGCCAACATTGAATATTTCCATTTTATTTTCCTAGTTTGATTTTTGAAAAAATTGGAGGGGGCTGAAAAGTTCCACTTTTTTAATATAGTACAATTTTAGTTAGACTAGGACTTTTAAAATAAGAATCATATCAAGGCATGTATTATCAATTTATTTATAGAAATCGTGACAGTATCTATAAATGAGAAAGATGAGGGCGACAGCTTATTACTTGATGGCTGGAGATCTGGAATCAGAAGTCGCAATCTGGATCCTGCATTTGAGGTTGTGGCAGAGGAGGAAAGCAACTCTCCTGTCTTGTGTAGAAGTCCAGGTGTAAATGGGTGACAGTGTTGAAGCTGTGTGGGAGTTGTACCACCTGAGGAGCAGGCTGTGGCGTCCCAGCAGTGGTTTTCAGATTTATAGAAAGCCTGCTCCGTCGTTTTTGTCTCGGTATTTGAAAAGTTTTATTTTAAGTGGCCAGTTCCTGGTCGTCGTCTTTCCTCTTGGATCCAGGTCTTTCCTCTCTCTCAGCCATCTCTCCATCTGCATGTTTTAACTCCCCCAGCTGCCTCTCTCGTCTCTTGTGCCATTTTTTTCAGCTCTCTTGGCTTCTCTCATCTCTTTGCCTGCTGTGTATTTTAACTCCCAGGGCCGCCTTCTCTGCTCTCCAAGTAATTCAATGTTACCTCCCACTGCTGAGCTCCGTAGCGTTCCATTCTTTCCCCATGTTTCATGCATTTCCTGCTGCTTGGACGCTCTGTTGAAGCAGCTAACATATAGAATCAATGTTTATTTTGAGACTACATATGCCATGCAGGGAACACGGTGTCAGTTATTTTGTGCAGATGTATTCTCATTTAAGTTTTATAAATAATATCTATGTTGGCAACTTTATTACAGAAAAATATTGGTTTCCCATCATCTCTAAGATGAAGAAAGCTCGTTTATGGGATTTAGCTGACTTTAGAGCAGACAATGGAAACTTCATTGCAACCTTTCTACATGACAGAGGTGCAGGAACAATTGCATCCATTGTGTTAAGTTGGACCTCTTGTACCTCATATGTTTTGTGTTATTCAGATACTTATACAAATCCTTTTATTTGGTAATTATGATGGAATTTGAGAAACGGCACCAATTTCTTGTAGAAAGCACCAGCCATTGTCCAAGCCTTCTCCAACAGTCTCTGTCCAGCTTCCTACTTCTTGCAGAGTTGGAGTCCATCATCCAGATGGTCTGTTTGCAGATCATCCAGGTCTGTGTGTATGTGCAAACTTGGGTTCCCTTGTAGGCTGAGCTCTGTGGTGCGAAGAGCCCAAATTTGGTGGTATTAGGTTCATGAGGTCTGGACAAGTGGTGGACAAGCTGGCCACAGCTCAGTCCACCAGCAGTGTCTGCTGTGGACACTCTGGGCTAATAACCAGCAGTGGGGACAGGAGAGCATATATTACAAGCTTTTTATCTGTAAGCCTTTTTTCCACCTTACAATAGAGGCAGCCTCAGAGGGTCTGAAGTGCTGAAGGCCTGAGGATGAGCTCCAAGAGCTCACGTATGCCAGGCTAGACAAGGGAAGGCCACAGAGCCAACTGTGCAAATGCTGGAGGGGGATAAAGCTGGAACTGTTGGCAGGGGACAAGAGCTGAGAGACATGCAGGGAGCGGAGTAGTTGTGTCCCTGAAAGAGGAGTTTTTCTACTCTTTCTTCATCTCCATGTCATCCTGATCTTGAGGTTTGCAGACTGGTAGCACCACAGAATGTCAGCATCCTCACGCACCAGTTGCCAGGGCTGTTTTCCCATAAAGCTCATAAAATTAGGACATTTCAGAGCTGCTCTGGCATAGGTAAGTCAGGCTAACAGTATAAAGAGTTACTCCCTTGATAGATAGCCAATGCTTGGCCCATGGGCCAGTGGTGGTGGAAGGGACTTTTCTACAGCTTAGATTGTATTTTTCACTGCAGAAACGTGTGTGAAGCAGGAGGCCCTCCTGGACCTTGTGTTCATGCCCTTTTACTGGAGATTTTCTCCTTGTGGCAGTGTTTTCAGAATGCTTCCTGCCAATGCTCTTCCTCCTCTTAAGTGCAAAGTCACTCTGTCCGGCGAAGCCTGCAGTGAAGTTTGTTTGAACTAAACAGCTGACAGCAGTGACACCTTGAATTGTTATGGCTGTTTCCAGAGTAAACATTGAAACTGCTCCCTTAATTATGTCAATCAAGGAAAAAAATACCCCACCCTCACTCTCTTTGCATCCACTTGGTCCCTGGAGGGGGCACTGCGGGACTAGCCGGAGCAAGAGGTATTCTTTCCGGTAGACAAGGTCCTGGAGGACAGCAGGTCACTGACTGGGGCTGCAGACGGGGACCCTGCTCACTAGAAGAGCCAGTTTTCATGCAGTGCCCAAATGAGCAAGGAAGACTTGCCAGCTTGGAAGGACCCTTGGGAGATAGCAGCGAGGCAGCCCCCAAGCAGACGGTGGCCGCAGGCAGAACGATGGGGTACGTTGCTCACTCTGAGCAGAATCGGGATTTGGAGCGAGTCATCTGGGATAAGACAGAAGGGCAGAAAACTCTGTTTTCACAGCAGAGGGCCTTCGGATATCCAGGGCTCTGGCCTCCGGTGCTTTTCTTACCCTGCCGGCATCCTCGGCGTCTTGCAGTGTGTGTATTAGCTTTGAACCTGTTTATACCAAACGCTACAGAAACCCCACAGAATCTGTCAGCTGGGAGACTTTGGTTAACTCCTGTCATATTTAGTTTAGCATCTGACACCTCCTCCTAGACAAATACAGCTCTGGTTCACTGAACCTGATAACTCCTTTTTAGTACAGCAAGTGACTTCCATATGGAATAAATTACAGTACCTCTTGAAAAACGCCAGAGGCAGCTGCCAAATTATGCAAAATTTAAACCACTAATGAACAATGTGATGAAAGTTGAATGAAGGTGTATTTACAAGATCTACAACACACTGTCTCTGTGGAGCAGATGTACTGTCTGTACAAGTATGCGTGTGTCTGTGTATAATGTACCTACGTACATGCACACTCATGCGTATTTAATTGTTACCCTTAAGGTCTAGATGTTTTAGGTATATCTGCTAACAGTAAATGCTACCTAAGATCAGTAAGCCAGAAGGTCCCCGACACGTTGCTCCCTTATTTCTATCTGCCAGGCAGATTTCATGACTGCAAATTGCGGGAAGAATAAGCATTGGGGTATTTGAAGGGGAGTAGCGGAACAAAACTTTTTTAAAAAATGGGGAGAGGGGAGGAGAGACAGAGGGAAAGTATTAGAAAAACGCATGTTCTTGTCCATCCAAAGAGCAATATATAAACATATTGATCATTTATACTGGTCTGTAGCAAGGCAGAGGATTGCTGCCAAAAATTTGGCTTCTAAAATGGGAACAATAGAACGTAGGTATTATTGTCTTTCTGCAGACTTCAAGCATAAGACGTTGTCTTGGCACAAACCTTTCAAGCCCGTGTGCCCCATCTGAATGCCAAAGTTTAGTTCACCAGAGCCTAGCCAGTTCTGCCTGTGGACCAGGACAGTGTATAAAACTCCTTTTGTCATGTAAGAATAGCTCTGTTGACTTGGGCAGAATGACTGCTAAGGTAAGATAATATTCACCTTCTTGTGAGTGTAGCAGTCTGGTTCAGAAGACGCTAATGGCAAAGTTGTGCTCTCAGGAAGATCTAAAGGTCTAGACCTCCACACCCATGATCTAGCCCCCAGGGAGAGCACGCAGTGCAATGCAGGAACCTAATTCACTCTGACAAACGGAAAATTGTTTTCTTTAGTTATGGTTTGCTATAATACAATACTCTGCAATTAAGCCATTAGGGAACATGGAATCATTCACTTCCGTCGGGGATGTCGTGGGTGAGGGGAGATAGTTTTTGATTGTATTTGACAGGTAACAAAATGTAGCACAGACCATTTAACTAAATTTTCTTCCAGGGTCTGTGTTGTGAGCAGGAATCCTTGGGACAGAAGAGAAGTGACCGCTCAACTGATTATGAGTCATTTATTCTGAACTACACAAATTTTAGAATCCAAATCCCAATTAAGACATTACACTACATGTGTTAATTAGTCCCCTCCTCCTTCTAAATCAAGCCATAACTCTTCTTAATTAGGAGGTTAGCCACTGTAATTTGAACTGGCCTGAGTCTGAAGCACTCCTGGAAATCACACCTGGAGGCTGTACCACGGATCATTTTAAATTGGTTTAGTTTTAACTTGGGTGATTATAAGGTCTCCAACAGAGCAGTAATTAAAGAGGGTGCAGCTTCCAAATTAAAGTGTCAGGGCAGTATAAGCAGTGATGTCTTGGTTCTAAACTGTGCTCCAGGGAGGCTTGAAGGATGCTGGTCTTGTGATTTTTCTCAACAAGGGCTCTAATGGATCACGACATTTTAAGCGTAAGAATAAATCAGTTCCAGCAATTGCCCCTCTGCATCCCAAGGACTAGTTACCACAGCTCATTGCTGGCAAATCTTGAATGACTCATGTACTGCAACAGTGCTCGCAGGCTGCTCTTCTGTATGGAGTAAGAAGGAGTGCTTCCCTGACTCGGATGAAACACTCGCAGGCTTCTGCAGGGGTCTTTTAGCTTAAATCATTTTCTGTTCAGAGCAAAGTAGCCAAATACTGGAGAATAGAAGCCTGGCTTTCACAGTGCAAATTGTTAGCCTCAGTTCTGAGTTGCTTATTAGTGAGGAGCTAAGATATTGGCGGAGTTAAAGGTCTGGATCTTGCTTTCCTGGTTCTCCTTCCCTGCTTCCACCGCACCTTCCTGAGATGAAGCAACCGTTCAACAGTCGTCGCTAGCCAAGGGCAAGGAGTCTGGTCGTTCAGACACACACACAACCTGGAGCAGGGTAATGGGTTCCCACACATCAGCTGCTCTTGTTATAATCCATCAGGTGCATGCTCGTAGCCTGCAGGAGACGTGAAGCAGATGGGGGCTGAAGTAGTCTGTTGTCTTGCATTTGCTGCAGGCTCAGGCTGCACGGGGAGATGGTCCTGCAAAATAACGTGTGCGTAGGCAAAAGCACTTCGGTTCAAGGCTGGCAGCATCCCCTGATGTGGAAAGACTGCTTCACTTGTTTTGGCCGGGGATCTTGTGAAGGGCACACATTTGATTAGAAACTTTTTTGAAAAGTCCAATGATAGGAACCACAGTGCTGTTTAGTGGTTAGTCTGATGATTATCAGACCTTCCCTGCCCCGGAGAGCTCCTCTGTTCTTACTGCAGTGGAAAGGCATTAACTAACTAGCAGTAGCAGGTCTCTGCCCGTGTTTGATGGCAGGACACCTTAAGGCCAGGGAGTGGAGAGAGACACTCTGGGACTAAGGCAGGAGCCAGTGGCCCACTGGCCAGTCTGGGCGAACCTCTCCATTGCCAAAGTACGCCGGTGGAGAGAGACACTCTGGGACTAAGGCAGGAGCCAGTGGCCCACTGGCCAGTCTGGCTGACTCTCTGCATTGCTAAAGTCCGCTGCATGCTTGGACAAAACCCACTATCAAGCTACTCTCTCTTTTTAGTATTCTCAGTTGTTTCAGATTGGTGGAAATAAATTGAATGACAGGTGTCATTTTTGGTGAAAATAGCTCCTGAACAAAACCCTCAAGAATTCTGTTTTTCTTCCTAAAGCATCGGGTTCACACTCATTTGCAAACCCTCTGTGGTTCTGTATCCTGTAACATACTTAAAATACCAGCTTCTATCGGTTGAATGTTGTCCGTGTCATTTGGTGTTAATTGCATCATAAGGGTCACTTAATGGGTCATTATCAGAACTTGACCTTGCAGATATCTTTAAGCCTTTGCTGTTAACACATCTTAAACTCATAAATATCCCCTGGGGACAGCTAGTGTTAAAACATCCTTATCACCCACTCTAAAGATGTTTGATTTTTGACAAATTAAGATATTGTCAAGTTTACTAGCTTATTACGCCATTAACAAAGTCAAATGCCTTTTTCACCACCATTCTGTTACACAAACGACAAAGTCCTCAGTGAAGTATGTCTCTCAGGAGCCTCATTTCCCTCTGCTCACTCAGCGTTGTCTCCAAAGCCTTAATGCAGACAGCACCTGCATACGTCCACATCACCTTGTGCGTTATTTACTCCAGGGTGAAACTGGTTTGAGATGGGGGAAGTGTGTGTGAGATGATCCTGTTTTAATTTGGAAGAACTGAGCATTACAGTTGCCCATGGCTGTATAACACCACTGGGTGGAAAGCCACAGTGTGCCTTACACAGAGAGGGCCTCTCTGGGACTGGATCGTGCTTTGCTGTGGGTAAACCTGTTCTTATCACTAGGATGACCCGCAGAGAAGGATCCTAGATGACGTGAAAAAAAGGCAGGAGAACGTGATCCTTTATTATTCGTCACCTGTAAAATGAACGGCTAGAATCATAGGTCAGGCTGAAGATGATCTGGTCTCAGCGCGGGTTCTAACACCAACTGAGGGAAAGGAGGCCAGCAGGTCTGAGCAAACGCTGACGTCTGTTTGGGTGGTGGCGTGTGCTAATGTGGTGTGTGGAGTGGGCTAACACAGCCTTTTCTTTACAGAACGTCCCTCCTGAGGTCCCGGCCCCGGATGATTCTCCCGGTGCAAAGCCTTGTGTGCCTTGCTGCCTTTGGCCTGGCCCTCCCCTTGGCCATCAGTCTCTTCCCGCAGATGTCCGAGGTCAGTACACGTCCGGGGATATCTCAAAGCTGCTTAGCAAGGCCACTGCTTGTTTTGCCTTCCTAGATAATCGTCAGTATTTCTTTTTTAATGAGGTAGCAGAGACCCATTGCAGTAGCTCTAAGGAGGTAAAACCATAAGAACTCCTCCCTTTTGGGTAAATCCCACAGTAGCAGTCAAGGGAATTCATGCTGCTCCCAGTTAGCCATACGCAGGTTACGTTGGCTTAGGAATGGGAAGGGAGAGGGGATGCGCCAGCTATCGGGTGTTTGGTATGTGAGACGTGCGCCGACAGCAGAAATCGTTTCTTGCGTTGAATGTTGCGTTCCTGTTGGGCTTCTTCTTTTGTGGATGAAGTCCACTGCCATCTCCTTCATTTGAGTAAGTGCGGATTCACTGAGGAGGGGATGGTTATGTTAATCCCTCTCTCCCCACTACCGCTTGCTAGCGCAGCCTAGATTAGTATCACGTGGCTTTTCCCTAACAGTAGCCAGCGCTTGGGTCGTATGGTGGGATATACCTTTCTAGTGAGCACGAAAGTTCTGAACAGAAGACTCTTTGTTCCACCCAACAAACATACCTCTTAAAGACACAAGGGAGGGGACCGTGTGGTCTTCCTGCCTTCCATCACATTCTGTGTTCTCCCCCAGCAGTGATTTGCTTCAGACCTCTCCTGTACGGAGGACGTTTAGCGTGTAAGGTGATTAATTACAACACCAGGGAACTGTGGGGCCCACAAGTTGGAATAAGAGATTGCTGAAAATATATGAGGATAATGTTCTACCTGCTTGATCTCCAATCAGAAGTGTCTCAGCTGGCACTGTGGGTAACCGTTTCCTCTTCTGGTGACGTCCAGGTCAGATGTGGTCAGATCACAAGTCAAGCGATGTTTGTGTTTGTAACTGATGACTCTTGCTGTGAGAGTCAAGCTGGGCTCTTCCTGTCTTTGCTGTGAACGTGAGCTTAGTCAGAATGGAGCTGCGTCAGCCAGAGCATGGTCCAGCTCCCGCTCTCCCAGGACAGTGTCGTTTCCTTGCTATTAACATAGTCTGTCCATCAAGCAAACAGTCATAACTAGCATGCATATTATGAGCAGGTGTACCTTCCTGGAGTTTCTTTGAGGGTTTCTGCTTTCTCATCTTCGTGAAGACACAGCCTGTGGGGCATGGCTTGTCGGTGCTTTGTGTTCTACGTTGCATTGTTGGTGCTTCAAAATACTGTTTTCTCAGGGTCTGAGTGATTTCCAGGGAAAAACCCCACAATTCTGCACCAAGTGGATGCTGCACCTCATGGCCGCTAAAATGCAAGAAGGAAGATAGGATGGCAGTTGTGGAATGGAGCTGTTAAAGAAAAAGGGAACAGGCAGAATGGCTGATGAAATTGCTTATACCTAAGTTAATTGAACAAATTGCTGAGGTGTAAATTTTTTTTAAGACATTAATTTCATTCATTCAGTGTTTGGAGATTTGCAGATTGTAAACCAGGGGAGAATCATTATTATAAAATGGTAAAACCTCTGTCAAACAGAGCAAAGGACTTTAGTGGCATTTTTTCTGTTTGAACCAGAACAGTTGATCAGAAATTGGTGTCACAGTCTTTGCTATGTTATTCCACTGGTTAATTCCCTTTTTCTAGTCTGAATGGGTTTATCCACAACTCCTAGCCAGGGAATCTTGTTGCACACTTGTCTGCTAGACTGAAAAACATGTTATGAATTTTCTGTTGTCCTTCTAGTTGTTTACAGGCTGAGATAAAACCATCTCTTAATCTTCTCTTTAGGAAGCTGGATATATCTCAGTCTTGGAGGCCCTTGCTAAAACACGTTTTCTGATGCTTTAATGATTCACATGGCTCTTCCTTAAACTTTTTCTAATTAGTCAACATCCTTTTGGGATCATTTACAGGAGATCCAGACACAGTATTGCAGTAAGAAATTGTGCACAAGTGCCGGTTGAAGGGGCAATGTGATTTGCCTACTCCTACTTGAGTTCATGCATCCACAGAACATGTTAGTCATGTTGGCATGAGCTCACGCCTTGGCTCATGGTCCATCAGTTATTTTGCTTTGCCCTCAAATTCTGCTCAGAGTTTTTGGCTATGAAAGACCGAGGAGTATTTCCAGGTTCAGCACCCATTCAAGGTACATGCCCAGGGTATGTCCGAAGTTCATGTTGGAAGGATATATCATCCCTTTCCCAGGGAAAGGAACTGCAACGTGCACCGCCAAAAGTTAGCCATGGCCTTTTCTGACAGGTCTCCTTTCAAAATAATCAGTGATGCAGGACTGGAGGGTTTACCACCAAGCTCCTGTACCTCAGAAGTTAGACACTGCCAGTGTTCCCCAAAAACGATGCCCCAGGCTGTAAGTACAGTCTTTGCTTCCAGAAGCAACCTTATGTTTGGCCATAGTATGATGCACATGGACTTCCTTTCCGCAGATCACCATGTGATCCAGTTGTCCCTGTACCAATGACTTGTACTCTTAATTATTTACCACTTCCCCAGACTTTGTATCTTCTCACTTCTTTAGTAGCTGGTCGTTGTATATTTTCTTCCTTGTCGTTGGCAACACACACGTTTAGCAGTGTTGGCCAAACCAAACTATTCTTTCAGCATAGACAGGAAACTCGTTCTACAATTTTTTTTTTGAAATTTAGTACGTTTCCAGTTTTTTCTGTAGGTTCACCTCGCATCGCTCAGCACCTGAGTCTCTGAAGTAGTGCCTGCGAAGGTCAGCGGGAACTAATGGTTTGGTACCAGAACCCGTGGCATCAGAGCTAAACACCTTCTCAGAGAATTTGGGCTCTACGAGAATAACTATTCATTGTCTTAGTTTCTCTAGCTGTAAAATGAAACTCACGAGGCCTTTCTGCCAGCTTTTGGTACAGTCTGAGCTTTATAGGTGAAAAATAAGCTATAATGTTTACTTTTTGATATTGCAGCTTGAAAAATTGTGTTAATGCTAACAGCTGCATGAATTCTAGCCCCCTCCAACACAAGGGAAAATTAAAGTCTAACTTCCCTTAGAGAATATTGCAGGCACCGAGCAATATGAAACCAACCATGCAGAATCACTTGGAAATGACCTTCTAAAAGCAGATGAAATGTTATCTGCAGTGTAAACATGAATCAGTGCTGATTAGTAGATCAAACAGAATGACGTGCTCTCTGCCCACGCATCATGTCAATGACGAGAAACCATTACAGCCGGTGGTATAGCTCATTAACTACTGGGGTCTCAGCTCTGGTCAACTGGAGTTATCTCTGCTAGCACAGTTGGACCTCTTGAAGCCAAGGAATCAGGTTCTCTAAAGCTCAGTCCGATCAATCTTCCGGTCTCGTTTGCATTCATTGTAAGTGTATGTATGTATAAAGGTGTTCGTCCCGTTCTGCCGAATCTCATTGAGATCTCTTCCGTGGTCACTACTTTGGGGCCACTCAAGTGAGCAAAGTGATTTATCTGAGACAATCTCTTCAGAGCCATTTCTTCACAGTCTTGGATAGGAAAACTGATTTACATTGCAAAGAGCATCTCTCAATGATCGTGTGACTTTTTGATCATTCATCACTGATCCATGAATGTGTCAGACAACTAAGATAATAGATTTTGCCGTGTGTTTGGAAATTAACCCTATTCCAAGTGTTCTCCTTCTCTCTCTGTATATAAATATAGGTATGTATGTATGCATGTATTTGCTTTTTTCATACCTGCAGTCAGTGAAGCAGCTATGAACACGACACTAGTGAGGTGATGCTGTTGTAATGAGCTCTACCCAGGGAGTAAATTATTAACAACAAGAATGTGATAGGCGTATTCTGCTCCGAAAATATGATTATGGCCTGAAGAGCAACCCTTTAAGGAATTGTAAATGAGCCAAATTATGCCCTTAATCACACATTCACAGTCCTTTTTTCTTTAGTCAGAGAGGAAACGCAAAAGCTGATGTGTTATTAAGCCCCGGTTTTAGCATTGGAGCTTGACTGTCTTCTTTTGATCCGCTCTTCTAACGGCGGTTCTAAGCATGCTTCAAACTTACAGTTAGTTTTCAAGCAGAATTAAAGCCTTGCGATACGTTTGATAAATGTCCCAGAGAAATGCAGCCACCGTATCATATACCACCAAAATTGTCCTTCCCTGTCTTGCCAAATGCCTTCTTCCCACTTATTTGTAAAGAAGGTGGGTTTTGACATATTTCTTGAAGGTAAGTGGAGCAGGTAACTTGGATGCATGTTTACAACCCTGCTAGTACTAATGAAAGAATGGGCCAGCCTTGCCGTATCTGTGAACTTCATGCCTAAATACTCCCATGGCCAAAAGCTTACAAGACACATATCGCACAGCTTGGAGAGCTGAGGAGAGGGAGAACCCCAGGAGTGAGTCAGAGGCAGGAATTGGCTCCCTGGGAGTCCCACACTTGGTTGTGGGTGACCTGGCAATGTGGGCCCTGGCAGCCCCTCTTGGCTCACTTCTTCTCACAGTTGGGGAGCAGCCTCAGACCAACATGGTCCCGTTGCTGCTTATGTGATATCTTGGCATGGAAGCCCACTTGAACTGCTGATGGGCTGGTGCAACTGAAGAGCCACAGTTTCACCACCTTCCCTACAGGGTTTGATTTTGCTTATACATCCCTAACAATATGCGTCAATATGCATCAGCCGTAGCTGCTTCAGAGTCAGTGGAATTATACCTGCTTTAAGGCAGCGTAAGAGAAATTAGAATCTGAACGTGCAGAATCCTGTGAACAGAAACATCAGTATGGACCAACTGAAAATCGTGGAGCTGAACAACCTTTCCTTCATGCTGGGAAAGATAACACATCCAGACCTTCTCTTGGGTTTGTATTTAGTCAGACTAAGACCTCATATCTTCCTTGATTTGGCACAGATGGAATCCACTTTATTGTCTACAAGTGTGCTCCAAAATTACAGCTTGTTTCTAGGTGTTATGGTTTTGAAGATAGCCTTAAAAAATAAAAATCTCGTGTCAGCCATAAAGACAG